ATAAATACGGAGGAGGCTTCACTCGGGGGTCCTGCCTCCCCTCCTGCTGTGCACCCCCCTTCCTGAGTCTCGGTGGAAGCCGGTGTTTTCGTTGGCGGGGTGGGGGTTGCTCTGAGGCCCCGTCCCTAAGGTCAGCGGCCCAGGGCTTGGAGACCGCGGCTCTGCGCCCTGTGGTCATGGCCACCGTGGTTTCAGGCCTAAAAACACTCAGATCAGGAGTTGCCGGCCGTCTGGTGCAGGACGCCTGTGAACAGTCAGGTGCCAGGGGACCGGGCCCTCCCCAGGATGAGCTGGACGCCCCCTGGGCTCCGGCAGGACGAGTGCGGAGGGCGGGTCCCCCACAGCAGGGGCGGCGCGGAGACCACGGGAACAGCTGTGTCCCGCGGGCAGAAGAGAGAGCGGCGAGTATCCTGCGTGCATGCCGCAGAGACCTCCTCTGGCCGGTCCCACGCGTGGCCTGGCCCTGAGGACGGGCGTGGGCATCAGTGCTGGGCACAGGCAGGCAGATCTGAGAGCTTTGATTCAGCTCAGGTTAAGTGTTTTTTAAATACGTAAATGACAAAATGATGTGTCTTGGGTCCACTCCCAAGGTGTCCACAGGTAAAACGGAGTTTTTCCCGTAAAACAAGGGGGGATGCTTAGACATCCTGGCCCAATAGAAGCCTTACCCCGAAAATCAGCCCTGGTGGTGGGCGTGGCTGCGCAGCGCATCTGCACAACCCATGCGTGTCGTCGCGGAGCGGGAAAGAACACGAGCAGCCCTTCTCATCCGCCCCGTGAGAGCTCTAGTGCTCCACAGGAGAGATCGGGGCCGGTGGCTCTAAAGGAAACAAGAGTCGCAAGACATTCAGGATGGGATTCGGGGTTTGGAGAGTGAGGATGATGTTCCAGAAGAAGACGACCTCACTCTATTTGAATCAATGCAGATGGTTGCACCGTGCTTAAAAAAAAAATAACACATGCCCTGAAAATAAGCCCTGGGGTGTCTTTGAGGAAAAACAAATATAAGGCCCTGTCTTATTTTCAGGGAAACATGGTATATGTTATGTGTATATTTTTTAGTTTTTTTTTTTAATGTTTTTTTGCCCGTATGGACACACTACGGTCTGTACGACTTTCTCTCTGCTTCCCCTTCCAGGACAACTGAACTACCTCGGGTCCAGCCACCAGATCTGGCACGTC